CGTTAGGCCCATATTGGAGTATGCGGCACCAGTTTGGAACCCACACCTAGCCAAGCACGTAAAGAAACTAGAGAAAGTGCAAAGGTTTGCAACAAGACTAGTCCCAGAGCTAAGAGGTATGTCCTACGAGGAGAGGTTAAGGGAAATCAACCTGACGACACTGGAGGACAGGAGAGATAGGGGGGACATGATAACGACATACAAAATACTGAGAGGAATTGACAAGGTGGACAAAGACAGGATGTTCCAGAGATTGGACACAGTAACAAGGGGACACAGTTGGAAGCTGAAGACACAGATAAATCATAGGGATGTTAGGAAGTATTTCTTCAGCCACAGAGTAGTCAGTAAGTGGAATAGTTTGGGAAGCGATGTAGTGGAGGCAGGATCCATACATAGCTTTAAGCAGAGGTATGATAAAGCTCACGGCTCAGGGAGAGTGACCTAGTAGCGATCAGTGAAGAGGCGGGGCCAGGAGCTCGGACTCGACCCCCGCAACCTCAACTAGGTGAGTACAACTAGGTGAGTACACACGCACACACACACTCACACACACACTCACACACTCACACACACACACTCACACACACACACATACACACACACACACACACACACACACACACACACACACGCACACACACAAACACGCACACACACAAGGTGGACAAAGACAGGATGTTCCAGAGATTGGACACAGTAACAAGGGGACACAGTTGGAAGCTGAAGACACAGATGAATCACAGGGATGTTAGGAAGTATTTCTTCAGCCACAGAGTAGTCAGTAAGTGGAATAGTTTGGGAAGTGATGTAGTGGAGGCAGGATCCATACATAGCTTTAAGCAGAGGTATGATAAAGCTCACGGCTCAGGGAGAGTGACCTAGTAGCGATCAGTGAAGAGGCGGGGCCAGGAGCTCGGACTCGACCCCCGCAACCTCAACTAGGTGAGTACAACTAGGTGAGTACACACACACACACACACACACACACACACACACATAAACACATACACACATACACACATACACACATACACACATAACACACACACACACACACACACACACACACACACACACATACACACATACGCACATACACACACACACACACACACACACACACACACACACACACACACACACACACACACACACACACACACACACATACGCACATACACACACACACACACACAGACGATACAGGAGAAAGGGATTACATAGGTACACTTCAGTATGGGGAGCACAAGGTGGTCATTGCAGTGATGTATAATCCACCACAGAACTGCAGGAGGCCAAGAGAGGAATATGAAGAGAGCAACAGAGCAATGGTGGACACACTTGCTGAGGTGGCAAGAAGAGCTCACTCCAGCAGAGCAAAGTTGCTGGTTATGGGTGATTTCAACCACAGGGAGATTGACTAGGAAAACCTGGAGCCACGTGGGGGTCCCGAAAAATGTAGAGCCAAGATGGTGGATGTGATGCTGGAAAACCTCATGCACCAACATGTTAAGGACACTACCAGAGTGAGAGGGGAGGATGAACCAGCAAGATTGGACCTTGTGTTCACCCTGGGCAACTCAGACATTGAGGACATCAAGTATGAGAGTCCCCTAGGAGCTAGCGACCACGTAGTTCTGTGCTTTGAATACATAGTAGAGTTGCAAGTGGAGAGAGTAACAGGAGGTGAAAGAGAAAAGCCAGACTATAAAAGAGGGGACTACATAGGTTTGAGGAACTTCCTGCAAGAGGTTCCGTGGGACAGAGAACTGGCAGGAAAGCCAGTAAATGAAATGATGGAATATGTAACCACAAAATGCAAGGAGGCAGTGGAAAGGTTTATTCCCAAGGGCAAAAGAAACAATGGGAAGACCAGAACGAGCCCCTGGTTTACCCGACGGTGTAAGGAGGCAAAAACAAAGTGCAATAGAGAATGGAAAAAATACAGAAGGCAGAGAACACGTGAAAATAGGGAAATCAGTCGCAGAGCCAGGAACTAGTATGCGCAGGTAAGGAGGGAGGCCCAACGACAGTATGAAAATAACATAGCATCGAAAGTCAAGACTGACCCGAAACTGTTGTATAGCCACATCAGGAGGAAGACAACAGTCAAAGACCAGGTGATCAGACAGAGGACAGAAGGTGGAGAACTCACAAGAAATGATCAGGAGGTATGTGAGGAGCTAAACAGGAGATTTAAGGAAGTTTTTACAGTAGAGACAGGAAGGGCTCTGGGAAGACAGCACAGAAGGGAACATCAAGAGGGAATGTACCAACAAGTGTTGGATGACATACGAACAACCGAGGAGGAGGTGCAGAAGCTGCTAAGTGACCTTGATACCTCAAAGGCGATGGGACCGGACAACATATCCCCGTGGGTCTTTAGAGAAGGAGCAGAGATACTGTGCATGCCCCTAACCACAATCTTCAACACATCCCTTGAAACTGGGCAACTACCTGAGAAATGGAAGACAGCAAATGTAGTCCCCATATTTAAGGAAGGAAACAGAAACGAGGCACTAAACTACAGACCTGTGTCTCTGACATGTATAGTATGCAAAGTCATGGAGAAGATTATCAGGAGGAGAGTGGTGGAACACCTGGAACGGAACAAGATTATAAATGAAAACCAGCTTGGGTTCATGGAAGGCAAATCCTGTGTCACAAACCTTCTGGAGTTTTAGGACAAGGTAACAGAAGTAAGACACGAGAGAGAGGGGTGGCTTGATTGCATTTTCCTGGACTGCAGGAAGGCCTTTGACACAGTTCCTCACAAGATATTAGTGCAGAAGCTGGAGGATCAGGCGCATATAACAGGGAGGGCACTGCAATGGATCAGGGAATACCTGACAGGGAGGCAACAACGAGTCATGGTACGTGAAGAGGCATCACAGTGGGCGCCTGTGATGAGCGGGGTCCCACAGGGGTCAGTTCTAGGACCACTGCTATTTTTGATATATGCGAACGACATGATGGAAGGAATAGACTCTGAAGTGTCCCTATTCGCAGATGATGTGAAGCTGATGAGAAGAATTAAATCGGATGAGGATGAGGCAGGACTGCAAAGAGACCTGGACAGGCTGGAGACGTGGTCCAGAAACTGGCTTCTCGAATTCAACCCTGCCAAATGCAAAGTCGTGAAGTTTGGGGAGGGGCAAAGAAGACCGCAGACAGAGTATAGGCTAGGTGGACAAAGACTACAGACCTCACTCAGTGAGAAAGACCTTGGGGTGACCATAACACCGAGCACGTCACCGGAGGCACACATCAACCAAATAACTGCTGCAGCATACGGGCGCCTGGCAAACCTGAGAATAGCGTTCCGATACCTTAATAAGGAATCGTTCAAGACACTGTACACTGTGTATGTTAGGCCCATACTGGAGTATGCAGCATCAATCTGGAACCCACACCTGGTCAAGCACGTCAAGAAGTTAGAGAAAGTACAAAGGTTTGCAACAAGGCTAGTTCCAGAGCTCAGGGGAATGTCGTACGAGGAAAGATTGAGGGAAATCGGACTGACGACACTGGAGGACAGAAGGGTCAGGGGAGACATGATAACGACATACAAGATACTGCGGGGAATAGACAAGGTGGACAGAGACAGGATGTTCCAGAGAGGGGACACAGAAACAAGGGGTCACAATTGGAAGCTGAAGACTCAGACGAGTCACAGGGACGTTAGGAAGTATTTCTTCAGTCATAGAGTCGTCAGGAAGTGGAATAGCCTAGCAAGAGAAGTAGTGGAGGCAGGAACCATACATAGTTTTAAGAAGAGGTATGACAAAGCTCAGGAAGCAGAGAGGGAGAGGACCTAGTAGCGATCAGTGAAGAGGCGGGGCCAGGAGCTGAGTCTCGACCACTGCAACCACAATTAGGTGAGTACTATTAGGTGAGTACACACACACACACACATACACACACACACACACACACACACACACACACACACACACACACACACACACACACACACACACACACACACATACACATTCATTCTCTCCACACACTCCATGCCTTGGAAAAGATGTTTATTCCACTCAAGTCCCTGTGAAAGAAACTTGAGGAAGCGAGAGTAAAGATTTGCTCAGAGCAACATTAGCAGGCAGGGCCCATGGCTGGCAGTTTTCCCTTGCACCAGGAGGACGCTATGAAAGGACTTACACGAAGGGAATTAAGGAGGCTAATGCTGCATGAACCTCTTTTTTCAGTGAGAGAGCTGCTATGGAGAGCTACAATTTCGAACCTGAGGCAAGAATAGTTTACAGAAGCAGAGAGAGAGATAGAGGGAAGGGGGGTGAAAATACACGTATAATATTCTAAAATTATTTTAAAACTTTTCTTGTTTATTTGAAATATTTTTTGATGCAACACCTTGTAAAGGCAATATAAAGTATAAATAAAAATAAATATTAAGTGTCCAGAAAGTTTCATTAGCAAGAAAGACTTACCAGGAATTCCTCGGTAATAACATGGTGGCTTCCTGAAGGTTCTTGAAACCCGAGGAAACAGGTGAACAAATCTGGAAAATTGCACCACCCTCAGGCACTTCATGACACACTTCACCTACTTCCTTCCACCTTCCGTCCGTATCTCAGCCCCAGGATCTCCGAGCTTGCATAAGACTACCTAGCTTGAAGAATAAAAGCCACACTACCGTGGATGAAGCATTTCACAAGTTACCCATTAACAATGGGCCACAGAGTTGATTAATGAAAGGAGGGTCGAAGAAGTGGTAGAGGTGATAGTAGTAGTAGTAGTTACAGTAGTATCATATACTCTATATCAACTACTGAGATAGATTTAGTGGTAGTTAAACAGAAGCTAATCCTTCTTGGCCGGTCGACAGCCTCGACATGAACCGTGATGGATCTACCAATGACTTCACTTCATTATAGTACTCACATGTACTTGATAATGACGCAAGACGGAGCCAAACCTCATCCACTTTACATTTCCAAATACGTGGTTTGAAAAGTTCGTATCAGTCTCACCTTTATGTCTGTGCCTCATCTCTGTGAGCTCCTGCGTGGGTAGATCCTCATGGCTGCTGTTGGTCTTGGTGCTGAGAGAAGAGCAACCGTTACCCATCCCTGGCAGGTGGTGTAGCGACGTCGCCTGCAAAACACACACAACACTTGCATTATTAAGTGAATCCATTCAAAGTCGATGTCTTACATGTAATCTGTTAATAGTTAAAAGAATCATCGTCTCGGATTACGTCTCCTAAACTGAAAAACAGACTTTCTATTAATATTAATATTATTAAGAATTCATATGAAAGTAATATGCTTACCTAAAGAACGCAGAAGCTTTTAAGATTTATCTACGATCAGATAACTTTGTGAAATAGAAAGAAAATGGCAGAAAACCCACCAGAGCTCAGAATCTTTAACAGGCTCTCGGTTTACTTTCATATGACAGAATGGTAGTATCTTCCAACTACCTCGTAGACTTAAATATTCAATAGTTAAGGGGGACGATTTCGAAAGCAATATTTTGTACACATTCTTCATAAGAAGCTTCGTAACAGATATACATATATACTTTAAAAGGTATTTTGCAAACGATGGAGATTCTAAAGTTGAAAGAATGTCTTGCGATATAAGGTCTCTAAAGAGGGTCTTGCGAGATAAGGTCTCCTAAAAGTCTTGCTTGACAAGGTCTATAGGGAAAGTTCTGTGAAATAAGACCTTCAGAGAAACTTCTTGGGGAGAACAATAACCTTAAACTCTGGACGTATGGGAGACACATCGCTGTAAGTTGTGTGAGAAAGAGAATGTTGAAAGAAAGATGTTTAGGAAAGTATTTTTTTAAGGTAACTGTATCGGTCAGAAGTTGAAAGCCTGACGTTTGTGCGACGGGAGACACAAACAGGCAACTGGTGTAACAAAGCGTTTTCCTGAAGAAGTATTTATTTTAGGCCCTTCAATGGTAATGGGGAAGAGAGAGGAGGTTGCCTTGATGCTGGTGAAGGGGCAGGGGGGTTCCCTTGATGCTGGTGAAGGGGTGGGGGGGTTACCTTGATGCTGGTGAAGGACTTTTGATCTGAGGATTTGGGGATGCCCTTCCTCTCCTCGGATCATCCTTCATTACCTAACAATCTCCTGTTGCTGTACAGCTCGTATGAGTTCAGAGTTTCCCTATGAATAATAATAATAATAATAATAATAATAATAATAATAATAATAATAATATTATTATTATTATTATTATTATTATTATTATTATTATTATTATTATTATTATTATTATTGTGTATCCTCGATGGGGAAGAAGCCTCAAGAGGTTGTGTGAATTTTGATAAATTAGACACATGTGCAACACTTGGGTATCTTTAATGAGGAAACGTCTCGCCACACAGTGGCTTCATCAGTCCATACAGAGGAGAATGGTGAAGAACAGGAGGAGTTTCTGGTTATCAGTCTCTCAGCCTTGAATCGATGTAATCAGTCCATCAATCTTGAAAGAATACAGCATATGTGCGAAGATGTACCTTGTATACTGTAGACAGGTGGGGTGCATCAGTCCTAGGTCATGCCTAAAGGTTAGGCAGGGAATTCTTCACTTGCCTAACCTTTAGGCATGACCTACTTCCACATTTGGATTTGTCAAGTGTGATAACACCTACGACTGCTTCACCTCACCTGTCTACAGCATATAAGCCACTTGCTCGCACATATGCTGTATTCTTTTCAAGGTTGATGGACTGATTACATAGACTCTAGGTTGAGGGACTGATTACCTCAAACTCCTCCTGTTGCTCACCATTCTCCTTTGTAAGGACTGATGAAACCACTGTGTGGCGAAATGTTTCCTCATTAAAGATACCTAAGTGTTGCACATGCGTCTAATTTATCAACTTGTCGGTTCTCTGAACCGTTTATCTACATTCCTGAATACTGTCCTTTTCTTCTTTCTCCAAATTTTCATTTTTATATCACTCGTTACAAAAGAACGCCTCATCCGATCGGCTTCAAGTTTTCAACACTGGTGTACGGTAACTAGGGCAAGATTCTAGGAACAAAAGACATGTGCAAGTATCCTATGACCAAACTTATTGAGCCCATTCTCAGCCTAGCAACTACACGAGGGTCACAAATTCTGATATTTCACCCCTGCAACCACGACCCTCTGCAACTACGACCCCTGCAACCACAACCCCAGCAAACTACGACCTCCTGCAACTACGACCCCTGCAACTAAGACCCCTGCAAAGTACGACCTCTGCAACCAAGGAAGGAAGGTATCGCCAAATCCTTGGATCAAGAACTTTTCGCCAGCCTGGAGTTTGCACTATCCTGACTCTGGCTACAGCCAATCAGAACTAAGTTTGTTCCACTGGCGCGAAGACACAGCCAACTAGAATCGCGATTTGAAAACTTTGAATTTGAATTTAAATTTAGCGTCAAGGAACCAAAGGTCAAAACCAACCAGCCACTCAGCAGCCGTAACGTCACTCCGCATTGGCCAATCAGAAGGTACGGGGAAGTCGACGTCACAGTCTGGGGGGAGGGAATTATTATTATTATAATCAAAAAGAAGCGCTAAGCCACAAGGACTATACAGCGGGGGGAGGGAATGAGCACGAAATATGCTGTGTCAGTAGTGCGCAGATGAGGTGGGGTTGTGTACTCCTCTAGTTAGTATTTTTTTTCAATTTTGTTGTAAATTACTGGTTATTTACAGTTATCGATGCATTTACGATATGGTATAGCCACTGCAATCTACGTGTGAGACTCTATGATGTGTGTGAATCTTTAATATATTTTGATTTTCTCCCCGTCAAGCGTAAATCACGACTGCCATTTTTATTTTATCCTCTTGGAAAGTGGCTGTGACAGACACTGGTATGTATTACGGCCCTGTATGACCCGTACGGGTTTAGTGCATAGCGATTTCTGTTATCGTTAAAAGCAAGGACAAAGATTCAGTAAGATTGTTATAAATTTTGAGAAGCCTTCCGCCACCTTGAACTGCCGAGGGTTAAAAGGCGCTTCATACAAGGAATTTGAGCAACCATCTGCTTTAGTGAATGCTTCCGTACCCCAGTGTATGAACCCCTACGGATTTAGCGCGACCCATTATGTGCTTATCAGTGTCTTGCCCCTTGATTGATGGGGGGTAGGGGGTTGCCTTGTTGCTGGTGAAGGTTTTTTGATACAAGATCAAAGCTTCCTTAAAGGGAGATTCTTGATGCTTTTAATGGGCTCTTGATCCCATCGATTCACCCCTCATACCTGCCATTCCTTAGGTTCGTTAAACGCTCGAAATTAAAACCAAACATAACTGTGTAGTAAAAAAAAGACATATACACCTGAGGTACAAAAAAAATACTTGACTCCAAGTCAGACTTAGAGAAATAACTTAGGAAAGCTACTCACTAAGCTGGAGCGGTTCCAGGGGTGTTACAGATGGGACTTAGGGTAGTTGGGGATGGGGGGGGGGGGATCTGACTGTAAGAGTGAACTAGAGCACTTGTCTTTAGTTATTATTTTATGGGGAACGAAGGAGGGAAGCTGATGGAATTTTAAGACCTTCTTGGCCACCCTTCCTTCTTTGAAGTTTGGTAGTATTTTGTCTCCCAGGTGAATCGGTCTCAGTAAACTGAAACAGCTACTTAATGTGATCTTTAGGTCTGGAGAATGGCTAGAGATATGTATTTTAATGGTACAGCTCTCAACCGATGGGACCCTGGTTCGATTTCCTGGTACTACGAGATAATGCAAAAATATTTCGGTTCGCCGAAGCTGTCAATCGCGTCAGTTAATTGGTAGCACCAAGTAATTATGAGTGTCCGGTACATATTGATAGTGTTAGAAAGGTAGAGTCAGTGGGCATAATTATTACATTATCTTAGGGATGGAGGTTAAACCCGAAGGTGTGTCAATTCTGGGGAATGGTAAATAGTAGGATTTGATGTAAGGAAAGGAAGGTTGCTCAGTTTTTTAATCTAAGAGAATATGCAGTACAGTTTGTAATATATTCGTAGTACAGAGAGTGTTCAATATGTACTGAAGATTTCTGTGGTCGATTTTTTTTTTTTCATATATAAACGAACGTGCTGGTGATGGGTGCTTTTCCTTGGTCACTCAGGTTTGATCTGGCCAGTAACTGGATGGGATACCACGTGGATACAGACTTGTCTTGCAACCCATCTTTGGAATGCATTACTTTTTTTCATGCTACTTTGTATACCTAGTTTCCTGGAAGGTCCTAAACATCTGCTACTTAATGCAGGATGAACTAACCCAAACATTTGTCTTAAGATATTATGTTTAATGAACTCATCAAATTGTTCTGTATTTATACTTATTTTATAGGTTCCCAAATATTCTATTAAGGGAGAAAAGACCCAAACTACTTTACACTGATTCTAAATTTCAGATTCATTAAGCTTTCTAGCAGCAAATAGCTATGGTGTAAAATCAGTTTTAAGACTTCATATCTTCTTTCCAGAAAATTTTCTTGCTAGTTCTGCTCTACTTGAGGAAGACAACAACAAGACCCTTGATTGTGTAAGAATCATCTGACAAAGTTTTCACTTAAGTTAATGGACACCTTGAAACAGAATTGCAAAATATTACATTTATGGTGACATCTTAAGCCATATTTTTTGGAAACCTAATTAATTTGCAGGTATATTTTTTCCTCGTATAGGTTAATATCTTCCAACTTAACTTTTTTATATGCCATTTCAGCTTAGTATAATTTTTTGTTTGCCCTTCCAGCCATGTAATTTTCCTTTTCAGCCTATTATATTTTTTTTCTTTTCATATCTCTATATATTTTGTTCCCCTTTCCAGACTTACATATTTTTCTCTTTTTTTTCAGTCAAATATATTTTTTTTTCCTTCACAGCCTAATGTATTTTTCCCTTTTAAAGCTAAAATATGTTTATCATTTCTTCATTTTTAGCCTAACATACTTTACACACATAATATATATATTATATATATATATATATATATATATATATATATATTATATATATATATATATATATATATATATATATATATATATATATATATATATATGTAGTTTGCTTCACACAGTTAAATAATATTGCCCTAATTATACTTTATAGCTCAAAATAATCTAAAAATATCATACAG